GTGTTTGCGTCCATCCCAGCCTCCAACTCAACCCTGATCTAGCCAGTGACATTAGGATATATTATTTTCTTCTACTTAGCAAATCTTGATTTCAATGAAGAAAATGCTGAAGCAGAAGTGAACTGATCAATAAGTATGATGATCAGGGATTGGGATATTCTCTCTTCTAGGTGAATATATATTATATCATCTCTTTGAATGATCTGGAAATACTTCTTAGTTTTCAATGTTTGGATTCTCAAGTGACAGTGCGGGAAAATAATGCAACTGCACAATTACACCTAGTGACAACTACTTCTAAGCTAGATCAGGGTTGAGTTGGAGGCTGGGATGGGCTCAAACACATGGCAGCCCAGAGGGTTGCAGCTGCCCCCCCCAACTTGCAGGTTGCATCACCAAGAGGAAGAACAGGAGTCACCTATTCCTTAATTACATATTGACTGACTGTGCAGTGTGTTATATGCAGTGCTACATTTGAATCTCCAGAAAATTAACTAAAACACAGCAGTTAAATTGCTAGATGTGTTATAAAATTTAAGATGTTAAACTTTAAATGATTTCCAGACTATCTGAAGAACTATCTCAATATGAGCCAGTCTGAAGGCTAAGATCAGCAGGAGATGCCCTAAAGATACCTTCCCTTTATGGGATGCATTTGTTTGAAATCCAAAACAGGTTTTGGGATAACCTTGCTCTGTTTTATTAGCTTTTCATATATCCCTGCTGCATTCCTGAAAAATGTAAACACTTTGTGTAGTAGATATCTTCTTCTGCTTTGGTAATAAGAAAACATTTACAAGATGAAATACGACAAAATTCTGGAAAGTAGATGTATGGTTATAGAGATGGTGGCAGTACTAGAGGTACTACAATGGTTAGAATAGATTTGGCTCTGATAGCTATTAAATATATATAACCTAGAAAAGAGTGATTAGATAGCCTAAAATGGTTTGGGTAGTTTTGTACTATTAAAGGCTCATCTGTGTCTGAGCAGATGAAATCCACAAAGTATTTGAGGGTGAGACTCACAGGATAATTTCTGAAAAGGAAAACCACTTTGGAATCTAAGAATGAACAGACAGATGGAATAAAAAAAGGACCAAAAATGTATGTCTGAATGGTCATAAAGTAGTTCCACACTAATTCATTGCCTGTGAGATATAGAAAATTGTCACTAACTTAATGTAAGTGCTTTTCTCAAATCTAGTTAAATAGAGAATTCCTAGTGCTTAAAAACATAGAGAGGTATAAATATGTTAACATATCACATATGTTAAGCAAAGAGACTTGAACCTGGGAAACTGAAACTTTAATGAATGAGTAAATAAGGTTTTGAATCCTTTCTTTTTCTTGGGAGGATACTCCCTTTTCAGAGCAGGGATTCCTTTTCTTTTCTTGCCCCACGCCCTGGGATTTCCTCATCTGGGCTTTTTAAAAAAACTAACCTCCCTCCCTCTCACCCCTCTCTCTCACACAAGCATGCACAGACTTTGGATCTTTCCTCCTGGCCCATACAGGCAACACCCACATGAATGACACAGAGTTGGCCATGCCCATCCAGTCACATGGCCATTAAGCCATGCCCACCAAGCCATGCCCACAGAACCAGTAGTAAAAATTTTTGAATCCCACAACTGCAACAGACCAGCCAATCTGAGCTAATTGAAAAGTGAAACTAGAAGTAGTTGCATTTTGTTTGTGTTACATTGGAAGAATCTATTGGTATTGTACACTTTACTCATTTATTATGTATATAAAGAAGTTAATGAATCCTATTGAATCGGTCATTTTTGTGTGCTGTCTGGATTTGAATTTCTGCTGCAAAATCTAACAAAGTCTGTTAGGTGTTACCTACGTTGTTTATGCAATCTGGCATATATTTGCAGCAGATAAAAGTGTATATCGATTCACTCTCTTCAGAAAAGGTTGGAGTTCCCAGCTCGTCTCCTTTCAGAGGGAGATCTCTACCACCTCCTCCACTTTAAGCGCTGTTTCGTGAGGCTTTGCTGGGGTTTTTTCAGGTTTTCTTCCTCTTCCTGGTGCCCCCTTTGGCTCTTGCTTGGCACAGCAGTCTGCAGCCCAGTGACCTTCCTTCTAACATCAGAAGCATGCAGTGGTCTTGGGTTTGGCTGCCATTCCTCCCTTTTGAGGTTTTAAGGCTTCTCAAGGGCTGGTGGGGGAGGACTTGCTCCAACCAAGACCTCCCCGGCATCTTTTTTGGGTCAGATCAATTTCCACCTCTGCTGCCAGCACGTACCACAGCTGTAACTCACTGGGGTCTCTTCTGGAAATACAGCATTGATGTACATCTTCATTCAACCCATCTTTAAAAGCTTCTATCAAGGCTCCTTGGGGCCAGCCTCAAATATGACATGCCAGCTCTCTAAATTCCTGGGTGTAGTCGGCCACTGATCTCTGCCCTTGATTTATGGTCTTCATCCTAATTCTGGCCTTACGTTCAGCAAGTGGGTCTTCAAACCTGGCCCGCAGTGCAGTCATGAACAGGTCATAATTCATCAGCTGGGGGGCATTATTATTATGCAAAGTCACATCCACTTTGCAGCTGTTCCCTCCAGAGCCCTTGTAACTCATCTAACTTTGACTGCTTCTGAGGAAAAATCCTCTCCATATTCCTCCATATGGCTCCAGACTTGTGCCAGGAAGAATCCTAACTCCTTGGGATCCTCCCCATATTTTACTTCCAACGGAGGTACCTTTGGAGTTCTACGTCTTCTGGCAATTACTCCCCCTGCTGGGGGCCCCTGGGCTGCTGCTGCCTGTTGCACCAGCCCAGATTGATTTATGGGGGTGGCTGCTCTGATTCTTTTTTTTAATAAAGATTTTATTGGTTTTTAAAGACAAGCAAAAACAAACAAAACATAAAAACATCCAACTTTCTTCCATAAGTGTACAAGCAGTGTGTCGGTTGATTTACAAATTTTTTGTGCATCCATTTCATAGTCTCAATTACAGTTACATTGCATAGTAACTCATATTATCAATCAAAAATTGAATACCCTAATATCATTATTAATCAATCATTGGACTATAATTTTGTTCATTCATACTTTGCTAGATAACTATAATTAACTTAGCTTATTTTATAACAATTCATATAATCCTCCCAAATCTATCTAGAAACATTTTATAGATATAATAATAAAAAAAGAAAAGAAATACATCTTTATATATTCATTGTTTTCTAAAATTCTACATATTTTAATATTATATTTTATTGTCTAACCATTGATAGAAAAGGTCCCAAATTTTGTAAAATTGTTTATCCTCTTGTTCTCTAATTTCAAATGTCAATCTACTCATTTCAGCACATTCCAATATTTTCTTAATGGTTTCCTCCTGCGATGGTATTTTCTCATTTTTCCAATTTTTAGCAAATACAATCCTAGCCGCTGTTAATACATTTACAATCAAATATTTTAAATCTTTACTGTATGTATCAGGTAGAATTCCCAATAAAAATATCTCTGTTGTTTTTTTGTCATTTTTTCCAACCACGTGTGGATTTTAGTCCAGTATTTTCTCGCATCCGCACAAGTCCACCACATATGGTAGTATGAGCCAGGTATCTGATGACATTTCCAGCATTTTTCAGATTTATTCTTGAACATTCTTGCGATTCTTGTCGGGGGAAAATGCCACCTGTAAAACATCTTATACAAATTTTCTTTAAATTCTGTTGACATTGTCATTTTATAATTTTGAGACCACAGTTTTTGCCATTTCTCTAAATCAATCCCATATCCAAAATTCTTCCCCCAAGCAATCATAGTTTCTTTAACTTGTTCTTCTTCTAGTTTAATTTCTAATAGATATCCATAGAGTTTTTAAATCACCTTTTCATCAGTACCTGTCAAGATTTTATCTAAGTCAGTCAATTTATAATAAAAACCTTCTGTTTTAAAATCCTTATCATACCTTGAATGTGCATATGAAAACCAATTCATCTTTCTGCCTTGTTCCTCTAGTTTTTGCATAGATTTAAGTTCACCCTTTTCATTCAAAATTTCCCCATATCTAACCGTTTGTTCCTTCTTGTATATTATAGGATAGGAAAATCCTTCAATAGTCGATAACCAGACTGGAATTTTCAAATAGCATTGTCTTTTAATCTTCTCCCAATTTAACCACAAAGACTCCCGTATATGATATCTTCTAAAATAGCCCTGTGTTTTGGTTCCCTTATACCATAAAAAAGCATGCCACCCCAACAACAAATCATGCCCTTCTAATGTCAACAATCTAGTATTTCTTAATGTTATCCATTCCTTAGCCCACATCAAGTTTGTAGCTTGATAGTACAATTCCCAATGAGGCAAACCAAATCCTCCCCTAATTCTAGCATCTTGCAAAAGTTTCAACTTTATTCTCGCTTTCTTACCTTGCCATATATATTTCAACACAATTTCATTTAAATCTTCAAAGTAGTCCTTTCCAAGACTAATTGGTATTGTTTGAAACAGGTATAAAATTCTGGGTAAAATATTCATCTTGATTGTTGAGATTCTCCCTATTAATAACAATTGTAGATTTTCCCATTTTGTCAAGTTTAACGCTGTTTAAGTTTAATGTAATTGTTCTCTTTTAATGTACTGCATCTTGCTGTCAAATGTATCCCCAAATACTTAACCTTGTTCGTGACTTGAATTTTCAATAGGTCTGCCAATTCTTCTTTTTGTCTTAATAGCATATTCTTTGTCAAGATCTTTGTTTTATATTTATTTATTTTCAAACCAGCCACCTTACCATATGCCTCTATCTTTTCCAATAATTTTGGTGCTGTTTCTAAAGGGTCTTCTAAAATAAAAGCCAGGTCGTCCGCAAAGGCTTGCAATTTAAATTCTTCCTTTTTAATTTTCATTCCTTTTATACTCTTTTCATCTCTAATATTTCTATTTAACACTTCCAAAGTTAATACAAATAGCAAGGGTCTTGTACCTTTTCTTATATTGATGGAATCTGTCAATTCTCCCTCTATCATTACCTTTGCTGTTTGCTTATGGTATATGGCTTCTGTTGCTTGAATGAATTTTCTGGCAAAACCCATCTGTTCCAATAATAATAACATGAATCTCCAATTCACATTATCAAATGCCTTTTGTGCATCTAAAAATATCAAAGCCATTTGCTTTTCGGGGTGTGCCTCATAATATTCCAAAGTGTCCAAAATTACTCTCATATTATCTTTGATTTGTCTCTTTGGCAGAAATCCATCTTAATCAGGATGAATAAAGTTATTTAAGTATTTTTTAAGTCTTTCTGCCAAAATTGAAGTGAAAATTTTATAATCTGCGTTTAGTAAAGAAATAGGTCTAGGTTCTTAATTTGCAATGGATCAGCCTCTTCTTTTGGAATAAGTGTAATATAGCCTTCTGACCATGTTTTAGGTATCTTCTTCTTTGACATAACTTCATTCATGACTTCTAGCAATGGAAGGCTCAGTGATTCTTGTAATGTTTTATAAAATTCTGCCGGAAGTCCATCTGGGCCTGGTGCCTTTCCATTATCTTCCTTCTTAAGTGCTTCAGTTAATTCCATCATTGTTACATTGCTTTCTAACATTTTTTCAGTCTCTTTAGGTATCTTAGGTAGATTAGCATTCTGTAAATACTGTTTGACTCTTTCCTCATCAATATTCTCTTGCTTATATAGTTGCCCATAAAAGTCTCGAATAATTTCCTTTTTCTCTTTATTACCATAGCAAACTTGGCCTTGATCATCTATTAACTGTGATATTTTCCTTGATTCTTTCTCCTTTCTCAATTTGTATGCTAACCATCTACCTGGTTTATTTGCATCTTCAAAATAGTTCTGTTTGGCACTTCTAATTTTCTGTGCCAATTCTTTCTCTATTTGACCCATTTTATGTTTAATTATGTCCAATTTCAGTTTAATGTCTTTTTTCTGTGGCGTTTTCTGTAGCTATTTTTCAAGTCTTTTATGCTTGTCTTCTAAAGTTTTAGTGGCTTGCCTTTTCCTGATGTTCCTTTTTCTTGTATAGTCTATTATCAAGCCTCTGGCATATGCCTTCATTGTGTCCCATACATTCTGAATTGAAGTATCTTCTTTTTTATTTTCTCTAAAGAAAAAGGTCAATTCTTTCTCCATCCGTTGTGTGAAGTCCTTTTCCTTTAAAATAGTATTATTTAATGTCCATCTCGATCTTCTTTTTTGTCCTTTCCATTTAATTGTCACTGGATTGTGGTCTGCCCAAGTACTTGTTTCAATATTTGTTTCTTGAATATTAGATATTAGTTCTGTTGAAATCCAAATCATATCTATTCTGGACCATGATAAATGTCTATTTGAGTAAAAAGTGTATTGTTTGGTTTTAGCATTTCTTTCTCTCCATATATCTTTTAAGTTTATTTCATCTGTCATTTTAAAAAAGGATTTAGGGAGAGTCTTTCTATTTTGCTTTGTTGTTGTTGCTGTATAATCCAATTTGTTGTCTACAATTCCACTGAAATCTCCCATCATAACTATATTAACATAGTCCAGTTCAATTATTTTCATATGTAATTTTTTATAAAATTCTTCTTGTTTATCATTTGAAACATAAATTGCAATCAGGAGTATTTTCATATTATTGTCCATTATTTCCACCATTAATACTCTTCCATCTTCATCAGTATGAATCAATTTTGCTGAGATGGTCTCTTTAATATATAAAACCACTCCTCTTTTCTTACATTGAGTCAAAGAATTAAATATTTTCCCTAATTTTGGTTGGACCAACAATTGTTCATATTGCTTTTTAATATGTACTTCTTGTAGACAAATGATATCAAATTTTAATTTCTCTAATTTAGGAAAATTTTTCCTTCTTTTAGCAGCCGAATTAAGTCCATTTATATTCATTGTAATCAGTTTTTTCTCTTCCGTGATTATGCTTTATAGTTAGGTTTGGTAGCTCTCATAGATCTTGGTTCACGTTGTTCTTTAATTTCCACCTGTCCACCTACTGCGCCTTCTTCTTTTTCAGTCTACATTTGGTCCTCTTGGAATTCAATTAGTGAGACCTCTTTTTCTGCCTCTTCCTCTCTCCTTCCAAAAAATTCTGTGTAGAATAATTCTGCTTTCACAATTGAATCAATTCTATGTCTCTGTTCTTGCCATGTAAACATGAATCCTTCTGGAAATAGCCATCTATAATTCACCTCTTTTTTCAGTAACTTTTTAGTTAAGAATCGGTATTCTTTTCTTATATCTCTCACTTTTCTGGGTATTTGTTTTAAAACCACAATCTCCTTGCCCTTGTATTTCAGTGTTTTCTCTCTTGCCACTTGCAGTATTTGTGTTTTAATGGCTTTTTTTGTAAATCTAATATGAACCTCTCTTGGTAGGTTATTCCTCATTGCATATCTTGTAAAAACTTGATATACTTCATCTACTCCATCCATCATCTTCTCTTCTGTTATTTCCAAAGCTTCAGCCAATATTTCTATCATCTCAGCTAAATTTTGTCCTTTTTCTTCCTCTATGTTTTGAAATCTGAGATAAAATTCTGATCTGTCCATCTCCCATCTCAGCATCCCACTTTTATCTTGTTCAACCACTGTTAATCTACTATCAATGTCTCCAATCTTTTTGTCTCTTTGTTTATCTTCTTCAATTTTTTGGAATCTGTCATCATACTTCACCATCATCATTTGTTGAATATTCTCCACTTTTTCATCAGTTTTCTCTATTCTCTTTTCAATAGTGTCTCATTTTAAGTTCTTGGATTCCTTGCATAAGTTGTAAGTTCACTTTTTCTTGTTCTTTGTCTTGCTTTAACATTGTCTGGATTGAACGTTGTCCTCCAGGTGGGGAGGTGGAAGTAGAAGTTGAGGACCAGAAGCTATAAATTTCCTGCTCATTTTAAATAATTGAAGATCTTCAGGTTCTTCTGAATCTTAATCCAATTATGAAGTAGCCAATTATAATCCAAGATGAAAAATAAAAATGGTAGAGAGGAAAAAGCCCAATAGTAATAAAAGGAAAAGGAGAAAAAATTTCTTCAGGTTCTTCTGAACCTTAATCCAATTATGAAGTAGCCAATCATAATCCAAGATGAAAAATAAAAATGGTAGAAGGAAAATAGCCCAATAGTGATAAAAAAAGGAGAGAAAATTTCTTCAGGCTCCTCTGAGCCTTAATCCAATCAATAGTTAAGTGAAAAGGAAGGGAAGAAACAAGAAAAAATTTTTTTTAAAAAAAAAGAAAAAAAAGAATTCTTCAGGTTCTTCAGTACCTTAATCCAATTAAAAGGTCTCAAAAATAAAAACATAAAAATGTATGGAAAAAGCAAGAAATCCCAGAGAAGAAGGGGAGAACCTACTCTCCAATAAACAATTTGGTTTCAGAAAAAAACTATCCTGTAATATGCAACTCTTACACTGCAAAAACATATGGACTACACAACTTGATCAGGGCAAAACAATAGATGCAATCTACATAGACTTCTGTAAAGCCTTTGATTCAGTGGTACATGACAAACTACTACTAAAAATAAAATCCTATGGTATCTCTGGACAACTGCATAACTGGATAGAAGCATTCCTGTCAAACAGACAACAAATGGTCAAAATTGGGAGTGTCCTATCAAATTCTGTACCTGTCAATAGTGGTGTCCCCCAAGGCAGTGTTCTAGGACCAACTCTCTTCATACTCTACATAAATGACCTCTGTGATCATATTAAGAGCAACTGAGTTCTTTTCGCTGATGATGTAAAGCTGTTCAATACCACAGACAATACTGCTACCCTTCAAAAAGATCTTGACTGTGTATCAGAATGGTCAAACAAATGGCAACTTCAAATCTCAACAAATAAATGCTCTGTCTTACATATTGGCAAAAAAAATCCGAAAATAAAATACAAGCTGAATAGTCAAGATCTTGTTGATGATCCAAGCTCTGTAAAGGACCTTGGAATACTCACCTCTAATGATCTAAGTGCTAGTGCCCACTGCAACTACATAGCCAAAAAGGCATTAAGAGTTGTTAACCTAATCTTACGTAGCTTTTTCTCTGGTAATATCACACTACTAACTAGAGCATACAAAACATTAGCTAGACCAATACTCGAATACAGCTCATCAGTCTGGAACCCACATTACGTATCTGATATTAGCACAATTGAGAAAGTCCAGAAATATTTCACAAGAAGAGTTCTCCACTCCTCTACTCGTTGTAGAATACCTTATGCCACCAGACTTGAAATTCTAGAACTAGAAAACCTTGAATTACGCCGTCTTCGGTCTGATTTAAGCATGGTATATAAAATCATACATTGCAATGTCCTACCTGTCAATGAATACTTCAGCTTCAACCATAACAACACAAGAGCACACAACAGATACAAACTCAAGGTTAACCGCACCAAGCTTGATTGCAGGAAATACGACTTTAGCAACAGAGTGGTCAATGTCTGGAATACTCTACCCGACTCTGTAGTTTCTTCCCCAAACCCCAAAAACTTTAACCTTAGACTGTCTACTATTGACCTCACCCCTTTCCTAAGAGGTCTGTAGGGGGCGTGCATAAGCGCACCAATGTGCCTACCGTCCCTGTCCTATTGTTTCTTTTATTTTTCTTTTATTTTTCTTATATGTACTCATTTCATGTATTCATAATTATGTATACACTTTTACTTATCTCGTAAACAATTGACAAATAAATAAATATAAGTATTGAAACGAATACATGGGCAGATCACAATCCGATTAAAGTAATATGGAAGGGACAAAAGAAGAGGCCAAGATGGACAATGAATAACTCGATACTAAGAGAAAAAGAATATATTGAATACATGGAAAAAGAATTGAAATTCTTTTTTGAGAAGAACAAAAAAGGGGAAACCTTGTTACAAAATGTATGGGATATAGCTAAAGCTTATATAAGAGGACTAACAATAACATATATAGGAAAGAGAACGAGAAAGAAAAGACAGACACAAAAAATGTTAGAAGAAGAATATAAAAAATTGGAGAGAGAATTACAAAAAAAATCTGCAAAAAAAAATCCAAAATAAAATGAATTTGACAAAGCATAATCTGGAAATAATAGATAAAGAAGAACTAGCACAAAAAATAAAACATTCTAAACAGAACTTTTTTGAAAACACAAACAAACCAGGAAGATGGCTAGCATATAGACTGAAAAAATAAAAGGAAAAGAAAAGGATTTCTCAATTAATGGATGACAAAGGGAATTGTTATAGGAACGAAGATAAAAAAGAAATAATACAAAAATATTACAGAGAATTATACGAAGAACAAGAAGTGGAGAAAAGAGGAATATTTAAAGAAGGTGGAGTTACCTCAAGTACCAGAAGAAATTAAAACAATGTTTGAGGGAAAAGTTATAATGATGGAACTAACAGAAGCAATTAAAAGACAAAATAATGGGAAAACACCAGGGCCGGATGGTGTGCCTGCAGAAATGTATAAAACCCTACAGGATTCTTTAAGTGATATACTATTAGAAATAGTAAATGAGATACTGACTAAGGCAAAAAAAAAAAAATCTAATTCTTGGATGGAAGCATATATATTACTTTTATACTAAAAGATAATACTGATTTACAACAGATTAAGAATTACAGGCCAATATCGTTATTAAACTCAGATTACAAAATATTTGCATCAATAATGGCTGAAAGGTTAAAGAGATACTTAAATCAATTTATAAATCCAGATCAAAATGGATTCTTACCTAAGAGACAAATAAAGGATAATATGAGAATAATTTAAAATACTTTAGAATATTATGAAACATATTCTGAAAAACAAATGGCGTTGATATTCCTAGATGCACAGAAGATCTTTGACAACATGAACTGGCAATTTATGCTGACACAAATGGAAGAAATTGAGTTTGGGGAAAGGTTTATTAACATGATTAAGACAAAATATTATAAACAACATGCAAAGGTAATGATTAATTGATGGAAAAAATCATATTGAGAAAGGAACAAGGCAAAAGTGTCCTTTATCATCATTGTTGTTCATATTAACTTAAGAAGTATTAAATAGAGCTATTAGAAAAGATAAAGAGATAAAAGGGATGGAAGTAAGAAAAGAGGAGTATAAATTACAGGCATTTGTAGATGATCTGGTTTTTATACTAGAAGAACCTTTAGAAACAGTACCTAAGCCAATAAATAAAATAGAGGATTATGGGAAAATGGCAGGATTAAAAACAATTGAAGGAAAAACTAAGATATTGGTAAAAAATATGACAGAGAAACAACAAAAAAAAAAGAACTGACAGAGACTATAGACATACAGATAGTAAAGAAAGTTAAATACTTTGGAATTCAATTGACTGCAATATGTGGCACAATTAAAAAAGATAATTATTATGAACTTAAACAACAAATTAAGAAAGAGTTAGAAAAATGGGATAATATGCAGTTATCATCAACAGGAAGAGTTGTGGTGATTAAGATGAACATATTACCCAATACCGATAAAACTGGAAAAAATATTTTGAAGATATCAATAAAATAATATGAAAATATATATGGCAAGGGAAGAAAGCAAGAATTAATGTAAAAATGTTACAGGATGCTAGAACTAGAGGAGGATTTGGGTTACCTAATAGGGAAATATACTATCAGGCCACAGCATTAACTTGGATGAAAGAATGGATAACTTTGAGGAACAAACGGTTATTAACATTGGAAGAGCATGAGTTGCAAATGGGCTGGCATGCATTTTTGTGGTATGGGAGAAGCAAAGTACATGGGTATTTTCAAAGATATATGATTAGGAATTCACCGTTACATGCATGGGAGGAAACTAGAAAACAACATTACATGAAGATACCAGTCTAGTTGTCAACAATGGAAGCACTTATACACCCAAATGTATGTAAAATGGGAATAATTGCCAGATACAAAGATATTTTAAATGAAAAGGGTGAGCTCAAAACAAAACAAGAATTGAATGAACAAGGGTTAGAAATGCATTGGTATTCATATATGCAAATACAATTAAGGTATGAAAAAGATATCAAAGCCGAAGGGATTAACAAGGAGTTGACAGAATTTGATAAAATACTAACTGAAACAGAAGATTAAAACATTATATTGTTATTTATTAGGTGTTAAATTAGAAGAAGAACAAATAAAAGAAACAATGACAGCATGGGCAAAAAAATTATATATGCTATAGAATTAGATAAATGGCAGAAGATGTGGGATAGAAACTATAAATTAACAATATTGACAGCATATAAAGAAAATTTGTACAAGTTGTTTTATAGATGGCACTTAGCACCAGCAAAATTAGCTAAAATGTTTAAAGATAAATCAGCCAAACGCTGGAAGTGTCATCAAACACTGGGAACATACTATCATATGTGGTGGACTTGTATAGAAATTAAAAGATATTGGACAAAAATACACCCATGGTTGGAAAAAAAAAAGATAAAACAACATATAGACTTAAAACCGGACATATTTTTATTAGGAATGGTACCTGAAGGTTACAGTAAAGAAAAAATAATAATTATATATGTATTAAACAGCAGCTAGAATTGTATTTGCTCAAAATTGGAAAAGTTACAAGATACTGATAGAGGGAAAAGTAATTGAGAAAATATTTGAATGTGCAGAAATGAATAGATTAACATTAGTAATTAAAGAAAAAGAAGAAATGGAGTATTACATGATATGGGATTTATTTTATCAATGGTTAGAAAATAAAACAAATTAAACTGAATTATATGAATATATAAACAATAAGATAATGTTTTAAGAATAGATATATTAGATAAAATGTATAAGAAAATGTGATTATTGATATATTGGTAAGAAAAGTATTCATTATAATTTTAAGCACATGAAATATGTACCTAGTCGACATACTGTTGAAATGGAATGGAATATATAAAATAAAAAAACTTTTTTGAAAAAAAAAGAATTAGTTCTCTTACACATAAATGTAATCAGTATAGAAGATTTAGTGGACGAAGTGAAAAGGGGGGAGAGAGAGAGAGAGAGAGAGAGAAGCTCCACATTCTTGAATGTTGGACTTCAGGGATTCATTAAGGCAGTGGTCCCCAACCTTTTTTGTGCTGCGGCCCGGTACCGGCATCACAAAATCATCCGCGGCCCGGTACCGGCATCAACACGCATGGCAAAGCGAGCCAAGCGACCAGCCAGCCAGCCGTCCCCCGCTTCTTCCCGCCACCTTCAACTCCTCCTTTGTACCTGTGTCGATGGGCTTCGCGACGGCTTCGGGATGGTCGCTTGGCTCGCCTTGCCATGCGTGCTGAAAGAATCCTCGCGCCTTAGTTTTGTTCGAAGCCGCCCCCCCGATGAAACTAAGGCACGAGGATTCTTTCAGCACCCAAATGCCGCTTTCTACCCGGAAAAGCTCACCGGAAGCACTTTTTCATCAAAACAAGATGGCGGCGCCCAGCAAACCGGCGGCCTGGTAGAAATTGTTCCACGGACCGGTACCGGTCTGGGGACCAGTAGTTGGGGACCCCTGCATTAAGGGATTCCTGCATAAGGATTGAACTTGATGGTCTAAATGTTTCCATCCAGTCTTACGATTCTACTGTATATATTTATGTGACAGCAGAGGTCTTCCTCTCCAACTGAAGCATTTTAAAGATGAAAAGCAAAGCAGACAAAAGCCTTCCAGAAGCTTTATAATACCTTTCGAATTGGGGAAAAAAGCTGACCAGGAGACCAAGTTTTACATATGAACAGTTCAGTGTGTTCGCTAAGGATTAGAAATACCTCCCCAGATACCTCCTTTGACATTCCAATTCCGGGATTCCAGCGCCGACTGAGGAGAATAAATAAGTAAGAAAGTAAGTTAAGTAGAGCGAGCTTCAGTTGGAACATCCCTGTGTGAAAGGGTTGTTTTTAAGCTACTTAATTATTCATGTTTCCCTTTCCCTCGCTGTGCAATTTGCTCTCTAATTGCTTCTCTTTGGATTGATCTGGTACGGGAGGAAGTCTGCTGATTTACTGAGACCTCATTCCTTCTCCGCTTTCACCTTCCCTGGCAGTATCTCTTTGCCTCTATTTTTAAGGCAGTCTCTCGCCGATCAGCACCTGTTCTCGCGGCTCGGCGCTCAGAGTTTGACAGTTCTCCTGCCTATGTAATCTCGAGCAAGTTTAGCCAGAGGGCTTTGCCTGCGCCGCCCTCCTTTCTTTGGCTCCTCTCTCTCTCTGTCTCTCTCCTATTCAAACTTTGGTGGCCTGAGGAGAAGCTTCAGCCTGCCGAAGCAGAGCTTTTGGTGTCCGGTTAGGCGCGTGGGCTTGGCCATGGCTGAGGCAGGAGGACAACCTGAGGAAACGTCTGCAGTTGACGAGTTCATTGATATTATCAAGAGCAGATCTGGTAGGACAAACGATTTGGGGAGGTTACACATGCGTGTTGGGTTCGTGCTTTAAGAACAAAAGCCACAAGCATTTTTTCCATTGCGTGGAAGAGGTTCTTAATAACACAGAAAAAGCTGGCTCCGACGTTGCTGTTGGGGAAGTTTTCTGTGGCATACAGCTGCTGGGCGTTCTTTTACTAAGTTAAACTGTATGTCCAACTAGAGCTGGGAATGTGGCACTTTGGGGAAAAGCCTGTGTGCATTTAATTTCCCTCCTCCTCTGGCATTTCTATATTTTTAATCTCATTTGAGACTAAGTTATTTTAAATCACTTGTTCCTGAGAAGCCAGTGGATATGTGGCTGAGAATTAATGTAGGTTTAAAGAAAACAATGGAATGTATGGGACATGGATGGGTGTAGGTGGAAAACAATCACATAGAAAGAAAGAAAAACATTTATTTTATTTAGCATTTTTTTATGTTACTTTTATCTCTCTGAGCAAATTGTGACTTGTTTGTTTTGGATTATTAATGCAGGAAAATAATAATAATAATAATAATAATAATAATAATAATAATAATAATAATATAATTTATTTCTAAGTTTTAAGAATCTCCTAAGTTACAGCATAGGCCATTATAGCCACAAATGGAAACAGCTATAATGGTTCACCATTGGATAAAGTTTCGGTTGCCTGGGCTGCCTCCTTGTTTTTAGCATTGAAAAAGAACCAGTTTAGGCAACTCAGATATTAACTGTTCAGAATTTATATTTTTACAAAATAATAGGGAGGTACTTAATTGTTTCTGAAAAGTTATGTAGTTTACCAGCTGAACGGAGATTAATGTCTTCTGCATCCTCTCTATAAGACATATAGTTAAGGTTTTTTCATTTCTAAGTTAGAATCCAAAATAAAGCAAAATGGAATACAAGAGACAAAGAGGAGTCTGTCTGTTGCCAGTCCCAGGCTTAATTTAAACTTGATGCATGGTTTGCAGTAATCACAACTTTCATGTGACTTCACTCATGTTTCATTTAAATGAGTTACTTAAATTTATTACACTGGCATGTAATGGAGGCATAAGTCTGCTTAGACTGTTACATAGATCTCATGAGGACTCTAATATGAAAATATCCATTTGAAATTCTGTGCAGTTAGAGTTTGTAGACGTGCAGAATCATCTTGATATAGGATTATGCAGAAAACCTTTTTGGGAAACATTCTTACAACATGCAAGAATTATGACAGCATAGTTGAAATGCTTTGTTAGTGCTCTTAATTCCTCTTTTAATTCCTCACCTAACTTTGGGTTCATCTCTCCACTCCACATGACAGCAAATTCTGGTTTTTTATTTAGATATTTGATATCTGGGATTTCAGTCCAATTTTGGAGGTGCCCTTGAAATATGTAATACAAATTCCAAAATAAATTACATGGTGAATTAATAAAAAACTGTCCTGAGATGTCTTGAGGTTGTTACATTGTTTTAGGGTCTAAGAATGACAAATTTTGGGACTTTCTGTAATATTCCAGTACCATAGAATGAAAGAAAAGCTCCAGATTTTTCGAAATGCTCTCAGCAAGTTTCAAATTGTTTCTTCATCATGAATAAAACTGAAATTTGAAATAAATTGTGAAATCCTAGGTGAATTCTGTGATGGATTAGAATTAATCCATAAAAATCTATTATTGATGTATTGTAGTGGTACTCTAGGACAGGAGTGTCAAACTGGATTTGTTCGAGGGCTGGATCAGCATTATAGTTCTCTGCAGGCTGGTGTGGGGTGTG